GACCTCACCTGGAGTATTGTGTGCAGTTCTGGTGTCCTCAACATAAAAAGGACATGGAACTGTTGGAACAAGTCCAGAGGAGGGCCACGAGGATGATCAGGGGCTGGAGCACCTCCCGTATGAAGGCAGGCTAAGTAAATTTGGGCTGCTCAGCCCGGAGAAGATGTGTGGAGACCTCAGAGCAGTCTTCCAGTATCTTAAGGGGGCCTACAAGGATGCCAGAGAGGGATTCTTCATCAGGGACTTTAGCAATAGGACAAGGGTGATGGGTTCAAACTTAACCAGGGGAAGTTCAAGTTAGATCTAAGGAATAAGTTCTTTACTGTGAAGGTGGTGAGGCACTGGCACAGGCTGCCCAAGGAAGTGGTAAATGCCCCATTCCTGGCAGTGTTCAAGGCCAGGCTGGACAGAGCCTTGGGCGACATGGTTTAGTGTGAGGTGTCCCTGCCCATGGCAGGGGGTTGGAACTGGATTTTAAGGTCCTTTCTAATCCAAACCATTCTATGGTTCGCTCTTGTGCATAGGTGAAGAGAAGGGGAAAACAAAAAGGAAAACGCTACAACAAAAAAGAAAACTGCTCAAGGTCGTGGTTTTGGTAGGGTTTCCTGCTCTCTGCTCTCGCACGGCGTGGGGAGAGCTCGTCGGGCAGCAGCACTCACCTTGAGGTCGCGATGGACTACGCCCATCTGATGGCAGTGGAGCACAGCCTCCAGGATCTGCTGAATGCAATGACTGCATGCAAACACCAGGGGCGCGTGTTAGTCCAAAGCGTGAACTTGCCGCCCGCACGCCCGCAGCCAGGCGGGGCCGGGGCAGCGGCGGGAGCGGGGAAGGGGCCGTGAGGGGTCCACGCTCTCCTTTCCGCCCCGCTCTGCTCCGCGCCGCTCAGAGCACGACGGCCTCAGGCACCGCCGCTGTGGGATCCGTAACGGACAGCCTCGGAGACGTGCTGCGGGTCGGCTGCTTTGCTTTGGTCTTAGTTTAATTTATTATTATTTTTTAATGGCAATTTGTAAAGAGCAAATTGTCGGGAACGCGCACCAATTTTGCCAATAATTCATTGGCGAGGTCGTATTAAACATTTAGCATCCTCTGCACTTTTTTGGCCCTTCCTCACACATTCGCTCACAAATTGTAGCGGCCATTGAGGTAATACCCCCCCCCCCCCCCCCCCCTCCAAGAGAGGCAGGTGAGGTCAGTGATTAACTTCTCGAGGTCCCATTTTGCCGGCAATTAGCATCACTTGCCTGAGGGTTCGTCATACTCTAACGCAGCCATGTGCGACCAGCGGTTCTGCAACTGCAACCCGGGCCTCGGAACACAAGTGGTGCTTAAATCTGCAAGCTGACATACATCACTGCCAAAGTTCACCTCCATGTGCAGACACAGTGATACATGGGCAGCCTCAACAGTTAGATATATACCAGAACACGTTTGACAGCACAGGGTAACTCCAGCGCCTTGGAAGGAGACAGGTTTTTGGCAACCATTCCCCCTTTTGCCATGATATATACTAGGCCTGTAGACTTGCAAACTGGAAAGAGGTATCATGCATTATTTGTTTGCCTAGTTGTTTTGAGGGTGAATAGGATAGGCAAGGAAACATCGCAGACAACCCACCCTCTGCCCCTACCCAGCAGAAAATAAATCCCCAAACTCTTATAGCCAATTGATGGGCGCCAGATACTGACCTTCAGGTCTCTGTGAACTATGCCATTTAGATGACAATGATTAACACTTTCTAGAATCTGCTGTATACAATGACTGCAAAGATACAAGGGCAGAATGGAAGGGAGAACATTTTAAAGGCACATAATCACATCAAATACAAAATAAAATAAAACTTAAAGAAAAAAATAAAGAACAAAAGCAATTTTACACTTCCTGACACGTCTCAACTGCACATTGACCAAAGCAATGTTGGATAGAGAGAGATCTCCAGCTGTAACGCATCAAAAAAAAAAAAAAAAAAAATCAAAGCCAAACAAAACCCCCACAAAACCAAAACCAAACCAATAAAAGACACTGAACATGGAACAGATGACACCTATGAGACAGAATCATTATTTTGTTTTTTCATTCAGCAGTATGGAAGCTTTGTCCAGTTTCCAAAAAACTGCTACAGGAAAAATAATGTGCAGGTAGTAAAACAATCACTGGTATGTTTTGGGGTTTTAGAATTTTTAGGGTAAAATTAACTTACAACACGTTACACAAGGAAATGCTCAGAAATGCAATGATACACGGAAAACAAATGAAACAAACAAAAAAGGTAAAAAACTCAGGAAAAGCAAAACAATTCTCATTTTGAATCTAAAGGTTTCTTAAAATCTATTAGTAGAATAAAGCCAAGTCATTCAAAAAGGTGGCATGCACTTTCATTTAAAATATCATCAAGTACTAGTCACTCATGAAATGGAAACCCATGTTAAAAAAGTGGAAAACTGTTTTATTTTGCTGTTTTAAATCATTTAATTAGCACCTAATTTTTCCATGCCCAAGTTTGCAAGTTTTGGCCAGCCTATGATGCCAAAAAGCACAACTGAAGTGTTCATCCTCTAGATCACTGGAACTTTTCAGATGTTTTTTGGTACCACAACAGCTTTTTTGGTTTTAAATAACATCTTGTGGCAGAAGTAAGTGATGGTAAGTAGTAGTCAAGGGCCACGGATTTGATACTGATCTAAATTTTTAACTATTTACATTTTTAACCATTTTGACCATGGAATTCAGAAGGAATGGTCATAAATCAGTAACTGGAGCCCAGGCCTGAAAATCCTTTCCTCTGCAAGTAGTTCACAACTCATTGAACTGGACTGCTTGTATGAGTAAACACTACTTGCATGAGTAAGGACTTGCAGGAGCAGACCAGTATCACAATCCTAGGATATGCAGCTATACATTTCATTAACTATTTCTATAGGGATATATATAGACACACACACTATATAGATATATGTACAAACACAGACACACACGAATGTATATATATAAATATATAAATATACAGAGATGCATTATAACTAAGTATTTCACTTATTTGGTCAGGTTTTACTGGATATATAAAATGCACACATATATATGATAAATATATATCATATATCATATATATATATGCACAACCCCTTCCAATATGTCACAATTCCAAAACAGAAAAAAAAAATCATTGCAATTTTTCCTTTCAAATCACGGGTATCTTAAAAACACACAATGACACCATACGCTGGCCTTTGGCATCAATACTTAAAATTTTGCTTGATTTCTACAACAGGTAGAAAGTAATTCAAAAATTTTTAAACATAACTCGTCTTCTTCCATGTCACCTAAATTAACAATTTTATCTTCTCTTCTACATTGTGTTTTGCTCTGCATTTAAATGCTTCAAGGAATGATGTTTCTAGTACTCCTACAAAAATTAGTGGGAGCAATAAACAGTAGAACCTTCCTAATATTCAAGAGAAACTTCTTGTTTGTTCATTATTATCCTACCACTGTTGCTAATGACGCTTAATGCTTCCCAATCATCTGCCAATTAATTCCAAGGGATAACTGAAATTTAAATATATATCAAGGTGGTGTGTGACTATGAACACACAAAACCATGAGGATTCTTTGAGAGAAATTTTCTGTGAAGAATTTAATGGTAGAGCATATTTTCTTTACAGTAATTGACCACAAAGTTTAAGATTCATAATTACATAAGAGTATTCAAGATTTATTATATGAGAGCAAACAGATTCTGAGATGAAAAAAAGGCCTGACGCTTTATGTCAGCATGCAAATTATGATAATTGTCAACTTACTCTTCAAGTTTTTCAACAAGCACTTGCAGAAAATTGCTAGAGATTTCGTATTTGAGCTCAGACTATGAGATGCACAGTGTAATTGCATATTGATGACACACAACAAAAATGTTTAAATACGAAAAGGAAATTAGTACTTGTGGTCTGAGAACAAGAATGGTATTTAATGTAAAATTTCTTCAAGACCAGAATATATTTCAAACTTTGATCAGCACATTTAAGAATCCCTAGATGAGACAGCTGAAATGTTATGTCCAGTTTGCAGAGGAGAAAACTGGGTAGGATTTTAACTATTTCACAAATTCACAAAGATTTTAACGAAGTGAGAAGTGATTTAAACCTTTTCAGATCAGCAAATATCAAGACTTCATAGAAGTTCTCCACCACACAGTCATAAGCTCAAAACAGCAAACTGTGCCCTTCCAAGCCTAAGAGACTCTAGGACAAATCCTAGAGTTTCACAGGCTGTGCTAGTGAAACTGATGCCAAACACCATGAGAGAGGTAAGTTACTATCCTATAGTTATTAAAGGCAACGTCAGAAAAACAAATTACTTACCTAGCATCTGCTTCACTATAATATTCTCTTGCAACTATATCTTCAAATAATTCACCTCCAGTGACTCTGTTAAATAAAAGAAGGTGGGAATGGAGATTTCAGAAGTGAAAAGCATCATAAATGAACTTGACAGGGAGAAGTCAGAGAGGAGTAACTGAAACATTTGTACAGAAATGCAAGAGGTCTTGACCAGCAAGGTGAAAGGACTCAAGTGGAAAGTTTGTCCATCCAAATCATTACATGAATAAAAAGAATGCGGTGGGAGAGCAATCACTGATAGAAAATAAAAGCAAAGAGCAGCAGTTTATTGGGCAAGATACTATACACCAGTTAAGGATGTCAAGAATAAGCAGTAAAACTACAGATTAAAGGAAGCAGACCAGCATAGGAAATTATGAATGAAGTTCAGAACACTTAAGGATAGAAAACTGCAATGTAAAGACAGATGTAAAGAAGGAGAATAAGATAATGCTAGAAAGGCTAAAAAGGGAAAAGGGCCTTTAAGCTTAGGCCAAAACACAACAGGGGGATACCCATGTGCCTGAGGGTACCTCTTGTGCTTTTGCTAGAAAGAGGATTACTGAGTTGGAAGGAGAGTATCATTAGAAGCAGAGTACCTTAATCAGTTAAATGATAAGATTTTTCTTTTTTCTACAAAATTTTCAGTTGTCTTTGACAAGAAAGTAGAAATAGTTTAGAAAAAGTGTCACTTCAAATAATTTAAGAGGCATTAATGGTATGAAAGAAGAATTGTATGATCCAGGGAACCAGTAACAGAAGCAGCCATGCGTGGCTGCATCCTCAGAGTTTCATTGTAGAGCCAATGATTTAATAGTAGGAAGTGGTTAAAAAGAAATAAAACTGTGTTGTTATAACTGAAAGATGACAGTTCAGAATGAGTCACCAGCAGGATGCTTGGAATGCATTTGAAAAATGGTGACAGCAATGTTTTGACACACCACAGTAAAATCCCTCCTCATATGATACACAGTTCTGGTCATTCAAAAAAGGGAACTGAATCAGCAGTATGACCAGAAAATTAATACTAGTCTGTCTATTCACTTACTCATATCTTCCCATAGAAGCCAAGACAGTTTAGCTTGGCAAAACAAAGTTTAAGAGGGATGAAAATAACTACTGAAGACAAAGAACAGGAACCCTGTTCTCCATAAAGGAGTGCTGTAAGGGATGATATTGGTAGACTAATGAATAAGCATACAATACCTGTGAATAAATGTAAGGGTAAAATCAGGAACACAAGCTAACCAGAGCACCTTCACACAGCCTCAGCAGACAGGATGCACGAGTTAGTCTGATTCCTGCTTTCAAAAACCTTCATCCTACTGATGTGCCAACATAAATAATTCCTAGATGGAAGATCAGTGCTCATATTTCTTTGCCGATTATGAATAGAGTGATTTTTCTTATAGCACATTATAATCTCAATGAATTCACTAACATAAAAACTAGAGTAGGGATGCTTAAAGATTAAGATGCTTGAAAATCTATATTACAATGAATACAGTTAAATTTAAATGGATAAAAAAATTAAAAGTGGGGATACTTGTAACCTCCAGAGCTGTAACACTCATTTGCAAATTTCTGTACTAACTGTTCATTGTGGATCTCAGTTTATTTAGTCACATTAGATAATGACAGAAATGACCTGCTCGATCAGCAGCACAGTTCCTTTCCTCAAGAAGGCCAGTTAAAGAACTTTATTTTCATATTTCCATTTACATTTGGGATACATCATCCTTTATCTGAGTTTACACCTTGCTGACTTGGAAAGTGTCCTGGGTTCAGCAGTAGCTTCTCCTTCTTGGTAGCTGGTGCAGTGCTCTGTTTTGACTTTCGGCCTGGGAACAGAGCTGATAATGACATTTTTGTTTGGCTAAGGACTTTGTGAGCCTCATGCTCTGCCAGGGAGGAGGGGAAGTCGGGAGGAAGCAGAGACAGGACACCTGACCCGAACTGACCAAAGGGGTATTCCATACCACAGCACGTCATGCCCAGGATGTAACGGAGAGTTACCTGGAAGGGCTGGGGGACTGCAGGGTTGGACAAGGTATCCAACGGTGCTTGGTTGGGCTGGGGGGGGGGGGGGGGGGGCGAGTTATCAGTTGGCTGGTGGTGAGGTGCTGTATTCTCTTCCCTTGTTATTTCCTTTATCATTATTATTATTGGTGGTAGCAGTAGTGATTTGTGTTATACCTTAGTTACTAAACTGTTCTTATCTCAACCTGTGGGAGTTGCATTCTTTTTGATTCTCCTCTCCGGCCCTCTGGGAGTAGGGGGAGGGCAAGAAGGGGGGGAAGTGAGTGAACAAGCTGGCTGGCTGGGTTTAAACCACAACAGAAAGTAATCACTTTCAGATAACAATGCTGTTCTGTAAAAAAGTCTGCAATAAAAGCAGAAGGAGGTAAAATATCTGGTTGCCTTATTTGTATTCTCTTTGTCTTTTACCTTCCAGAAACTGGTTTTGGCTCCTTTAACACAAAAAGTTTGATTGATGCATATTTTGACAGTCTTTGATACCTCCATTTTGCATGTGTATTTGTCTACCACAGTTCTGGTAAAGAGGAATAATTCTCACTTTGTGACGAACGAAAAAAAAAAAAAGCATCATTTGATCTTACTCTTCCCTAAAACATTCATTTTGATCCAAGCCAAGAAAGAAAAAGTTTTTGTCATCAAAGTGCATTTCAGTGGGAGAAACACCAAACTGATGCTTGTTCTTGAGCATGGAGAAGAGAGGGGGATATGCATTCTTACTTGCTGACACTAAACATTTGCTTGGTATTCATACCCATTGCTACGTGATGAAAAAAATGAAAGCAGGAACAGATAAGGTGAATTTCACTGACAAGCATAAGTCAGCAACTCCCATGCCCTGTCACTCTCAAGGATACATCAGGAATCATTCTCAGAAGGTAGCTACATGGCCATAATGAAGGAAGGTAGCACAGGGGATTAAGAGAGGCCAGAACTCTCCTGCATCTCCTGAGCCTCTGACTCAGAAAATCAGTATAGCCATGTTAGTGGCTTTTGCACACTAAGAGTGCATGAGCAATGAGCCCTTGCAGCAGCAAAGATCTGCTGCATCATGATATATATAGGAGAGCCAGGAGGCTGAAGGAAGCAATTCTTCCCTGGCATTTGGCACACATGAGAACACACCTGGATCATGTCCCCTTTTGGGCTCCCCAGAACATGAACAACATTGACACAATGGTGTTTAATGAAGGGCAACCAAATTCATCAGATTTGGACGCCCATGGAGAGGCTGAGATAATTAGGTCTTTTCACCATTAAGATGGAAAGGCTCAGGGGAGATCTCATTGCTGTTCACAACCCTCTAATGGGTAGATATGCAGAGACAGCATGAAAGGCAACAGACAAGCTGAAACACTGGAAATATCAAATAGATACAAGGATTTTTCTTCCTTTATTGTTATTATAATTATTTACTATGCACTTGTTGCTCAAAGAGGTTGTGGAACTTCCATTCTTGAAGATGTTCCAACCTTGAAAACCCCCTGAGCAAACTGATTCAATTGGACCGTGTTGTAGAAGGGGGTCAGACCAGAAAACTTCTAGGGATCTTTACCAACCTATGTTACTCACTGATTTTATAAATAAAGAACAGAGCAGTTACAATAAGCTGCTATATAAAACTGTAGTCCATACAGTTTAATGCCAAAGTTGTGATAAAGCATACTACTCCTTATTAGATGTCATTTTGTTAGGATTTTTTTCCCTTGTATCTTGTATAAAATATAAGTGAGACCGTAAAGCAGAGGGCAAAAAGTTAAAAAAAAAAAAGCAAACCAACTTTGGTCCTTCGGTATAAAGCTACATGAACACCTACTGAGCTGTTCTGTTCTCAAGATTAGAATGGGAAGTAAATCTATCTCAGTGGCTTTCTGATACAGATAAATTGTCAACTTCAGTGAGATCCTGTTTCACAATAGGACATGCATGATATGAGCTCTGGTAACTCTCAGGATACAAATTAAAAGCCACTGCCTCTCACAAGTTATTACTCTTCTTCCATACTTTTCTGAAGAGTACACTAAAATGGCAACAAATAAATCAAGTGGGTTTGTTCAAACAGAAGTACAAGCAGCATGTGAAAACACCAAGGCCCTCTGTACCAGGTATGCTTCCAGGAACCCTGCAAAGAGGGAGGCAGAAGGATTCCATGTCCAAAGGATGATATTTCTGCTCACCTCACAGAAGAGGTACATCACAATGCAATTTTTAACTACTTCATTCAACTGACTTTTAACACTCAGTAAACAAATTACTGCATTTACAGTGTTAAATGCCACTTTCTTTTGTTGGAAACATTTGTAATAACACATACAAAAATACTCAACTTCATATACCATATGATTGATTAGGAAAGTTTATACTTTTAAGAAGACATTTAAAAGGATTAGCAAAGCTGGCTAGAAAAGCCTCTGCTGCTGCTGATCACACTGGCATTGTTTCCTCCTAGACTTCTTATTTCTTAAATTGTTTTCATAATGAAGGTGCAAGGAAGCAGTCTTACAAAATTACAATGGCTATATACTTGGTACATTTATCTGTGACCTTTCTACTTCCCAAAAAGAGCAGTTCAGGCATGTATCCTATGCAAACACCAGTCCAGAACATGTAAACTAAAGCAAACATTGTTTTGCAATTAGGATTTATTTATTTTTTTTTGTATTTTGGTTTCTTCTACACATACAATCCCTCCACTTGGATTCAACAGCAACACCAGGAGTCTTAATGTACCAATTGTTGCATCTCAAGTGCATGAAAATGGGCAACACTGAATCTTACTAACTTGCACAAGAGAGTCTTCAAGTGCTACAGCTGTTTCCATTCAGACACAGCAATTAATAACGACAGAATCGATTGGATTTTAACTCATTTAACATTATTAACGCTGAAGACAATCTCATTTGTGCTTAGCAACTGAAATGGGCTAAGAGATGCAAACCCTAATCACACTTGCCTCAAGCAGTAAGGGAGGAGGAGTAACAAACTTCATGAAGTCCATTACTAGTCTTACTTTGCACGTTTTACTATTCTGCTAATCACTTCACTATATCTAGTGAGAGAAATATAACAGGAGGAAGTTCTTTGCTTGGGAGAAAGATCATAGGCGGCTATCTCAGGTAATCTTGTATGTAGGGGCCATGTTGGTAGACCAGTAAGACGCCACCACTCCTTGAAAGTGATGTCAACAGGACCTTGAAAAAAATTTTGTCTACTCAAGTGCAAAACTACCATATTCCAGAATGGCACCATCATGTATGTATTTCAGAGATGGGGCGTTACCAACAGATATATATATATGTGTGTGTGTGTATGTGTGAATACTTTAGTGCATCTATTTTCTATGCAGAGCTTCTTACATGAATACCCCAACACCACATTTTATCAGAAAGCACATCTTTCATTGTTCAATGTCCAGTTTCCACATGGATTTTAGAAGACTTCCACCTTCACATTTTGGCACAAGAGCTCTTCACTCAAATGCACGCCTTCAACAGAGTACGTTAATCTCTTTTATTCCCTCCAGGTAAAAGCACAGCTATAGAAGTGAAGCAACAGGCTTCTCCTTCAGATTGCAGGCATTCCCATGACATTAATTCAACACAGATTATTAGAAATTCAAAGTAGAAAGTGGCAATGATTAGGCTTTTTTTTTTCTATTAACAAAAAAAGCAGTCTTCACTTTCTTATGTGGGATGCAGTCTGAAAGAAATTTCTAAAGAAACAGTTGCACCGAATTCCACAGAGTGAAAGAATTCATTAAGAAAATGACATGATGGTATGTGTAGGTGGAGTGACAGTGTTACACCACAGTCAGGCTCCTGTTGAATAGAAAGTAAATAAATAAATAAATGAAAGTATGTACTTGGCCTTCAAATTAAAGAAGTAGATATGGTACCTTTTTTGTGGCAGCTCATTTATGTACATTTAAAGAAACCACTAACCCACATATTTGTAACTGCAGTGAAGATGAAGTTTCACAAAAAAAAATGGAATTAGTAAGCATTAAAGCTGTAATTTCTTATTCTGAATGAAAAAATAACTGAGCAACCATCCTTAATAATGAGGCAAATGTTCTTTGCGAATGTAAGATGTTGCTTTTCCAAAGACAATGATCAGTAGGTACAGTCATTGCCTCTGCTATTTAGATGGTTTCTGTTTCTGCAAAGTAATTTATTTTGACAAAAAAAAAACAAACCAAATGATCTAAACATAATAAGCTGCATGTGTGTGTGTGTGTGTGTGTGTGTGTGTGTGTGTTGAAGCCCTCTTTCTTTGAAGAGGATGAAACGCAAACTCATGCGGTTCTTGCACATGTTTAAGTCTGTTCACAGAATCACAGAATCCTAACGGTTGGAAGGGACCTCAAAAAATCATCTAGTCCAACCCTCCTGCAAGAGCAGGGTAACCTAGAGTACATCACAAAGGAACTTGTCCAGGCGAGCCTTGAATATCTCTAACGTAGGAGACTCCACAACCCCCCTGGGCAACCTGTTCCAGTGATCTGTCACTCTCATAGTAAAGAAATTTTTCCTGATGTTCACATGGAATCTCCTATGCTCCAGTTTACACCCATTGCCCCTTGTCCTATCACTGGACATCACTGAAAAAAACCTAGCTCCATCATCCTGACACTTGCCCTTTACATATTTGTAAACATTGATGAGGCCACCCCTCAGTCTCCTCTTCTCCAAGCTAAATTGTCCCAGCTCCCTCAGCCTCTCCTCGTAAGAGAGATGTTCCACTCCCTTAATCATCTTTGTTGCCCTGCGCTGGACTCTCTCCAGCAGGTCCCTGTCCTTCTTGAACTGAGGGGCCCAGAACTGGACACAATATTCCAGATGCGGCCTCACCAAGGCAGAGTAGAGGGGGAGGAGAACCTCTCTTGACCTACTAACCACACCCTTTCCAATACACCCTAGGATGCCATTGGCCTGAACAGGACTGACAGGGAAAGTTCCAGCCACTGCAGAGTGCTTCTTGCAGAATCTAATTTTCTGCCAGGGCTGTATCTTCTGGTTAGGTGTTGATTTTTATTGCAGAATACAGGCTTGTATTTGTTCTGTTACTACTGAGATACAGATACTGGTAACTACAACTCTGTAGCTGTTCAAATGCCTCCTAGTTCACATTGCAATCTCCTGAGATATGTCTGGCATGATATATGAAATTTAATGCAGAAGTTGACTCACTGCAATTACAGTAGGCTATAGTTTCTAAAAGTACAATAGCACAACAAAAAAATAAAAATGCCACACTAGTGATATTGTCCTTAGAACCAAGAATTCTGCACGCACTTCTTGGAAAGGTTCAGGATTAAGAAGATTTTTCCAATTCCACATAGAAAGATTTCCTCTTAAAAAAAAAAAAACAAAAAAAACAACAAAAAGAACCCCCCCCCCCCCCAAAAAAAAAGCAGAAGAAAACCCCAGTGCATGTCAGAGAACAAGTATGCGTGTTGTGCCCTACAACCATTTTTAAGCCAATAGTCAGAGCACTTACCTGGGATATACACAAGTCAGATACAAGTTCCTTCTGAGCCCAGTTAGGATTTGAGCACTGAATCCTGAACCCCTTCACCGCAGACAGGCTATTTAACATTTTGTACTACTAGTCTGAAATCTAGCCTGGAAGAATTCTTCACAAATTTCTTTAAAGAAACTAAGTGAGAAGATAAACCAGAACAAAACCTGAACATGAGAGCACAAAATTGATTGTGGAAGACCCAGGTTCTAACCCACCTACACTGAATAAAAGTATTTCAGTTTGTATGCTTAGAAATGAGCTGTTTCACATATTTAGAGGAAATAACATATTTTCCTTTTAACCAGCATGTTGGATCTAACAAAGCTCTTGGGGGGAGTGGTGGTCATGTTTGTCAAAATCATAAACTGCCTGGAAAACTTTGCAATTGAAATAGGTAGTTCTACTCAAATAACTAAAGTTTTGTAAAATAATCCCTAATCATTCATGTTTGCCCATACCCAGAACTAAAAGCTGTAACTTTTCTGGTGACTAGAAAAGTTTGCTTGTCCCAGGCAGAATGAAGAATGTCAGTGTCTTTTTTTAAGTTGAGAGTATGAGACACCCAGTTTATCTTGTCACAATTCCTTCTTCCACTGAACAGCCTGATCTGGGAGGAATAAGCTCCACATATGCAGTCACTACATGAACAACTCACAGGACTCAAAGTCCTGAAGCAAAATGGAAAGTAAATAGGAAACTTCCTTTGTATATGCTGGGCATTTTATATTCTGAATGATGTCAAAATGAAACATTCTATTGGTAAGACATGAATTGGGAATAATAATGAAACATTCTATTGGTAAGACATGAATTGGGAATAATACAATGAAAGAATCTTTCCCTGTAGGAAACTCAGGCTTACCTTTCAATCCCACAGTGGAGATTTTCTGTAGAGAAACTATTGTTTCACACGTTGGTGGCTTTTTTTTTTTTTTGTTCCTTTACAGATAACTGGCTTGCAGCAAATTATTTTTTCTGAGTCCTGTGTTTGCTTTGCAGACATCATGCAAATGTACTTACATACCTATATTTGATACTAAAATCCACTTCAACAGTGGCCCTGCTTATTCAAAGTTTTTAATATGGAATTAATATTCATTTAATATGGAATTTAATGTGTGATGCAAATCAGTTCTTGCACATGCAAATGACCAAATATGTTACTGTCCTTCCAGCTCTGTTTACATGTTTGTCCAACTCAGT